ATGTCTGCCCAAGATCCAGGGTTGGCTGAGACTAGAGGTGGATATCGCACATCAAGACCCTGCTAGGGGTGTGTGCTCGCTTGGTCTCTCCCTCTCTCCCATGTTCCACTCATGGAACAAATAAATAAACTTTTGAGTGAATAAAAAAATTAATAAACAAACATAATAGCTAATAAGGAGGAAATTCAACAAAAAGTTAGGTTGGGCCCACAGATGGCATAATAGTTACATTCCCACATGGCTGACCATAGTTTGAGTCCTCTACCCATTGTTTTGAAACCCACGCAGGACATATGTGTGTGCCCAAAATCCCAGGAGGAGAATGGGGGGGGAATAAAAGCAATTATGGTGTGTCCATTCCCCCAGGGGGTGATTTTTCAACTTCCCTCTCACTCTCTCTGTCTCTTTCTCTTTCTCTGCCCCCCCACACATCCCCTCAGGTAAAAACCTCTAAGAAAAAGTTTGTTGACACATGGTCTATAGGGAATGTCTTACATTCGGAGATGCTCAGTCTTAACACCATTTTCTTTAAAGATGATCTCAGTGTCAGCTCCTTCATGTGGTCTTTCCTGATCCTCCTGAGCAAACACACTGTCCCTAATGTGACATTTATTCAATTGTACTTTTTCTCATGATCGCATCTATGATTTTGACTTACATGCATTCTAGATTAGGAGTTGGCGTTTTGTTTCTGTGAAAAGTTAGGCAGCATATCCTTTATGCTTTGCCATTCACTTTGTACCTTTCACAGCTACTCAACTGCATTTTTAAGACAACATTCAAATAAATTAGTGTGGCTGTATTTCAACTAAATTTTATTTATGGACACTGAAATTTGACTTTCAGGGAATTTTCACAGGGCAAAAATACTATCCTTTTTATGTTTGTTTCAATGATCTGAAAATTTTTAGCTTGGATCCAGCCATGGTGGTGCATGTAGTAGAGGGACTGATGCATGGTGGAAAGGCTCTGGTTCTGCACCCAGGGTCTGCCTCATCACTCCAAGTGTGCTCACCAGCACACTCATGAGCCTATCAACAGGGCTGGGAGGAGGATCACAGCATGAAGATCTTGTCAAGGATGCCTTTCTTCTCTCTCTTCCCCATTACACCTCAATAAATAAATAATTTTTAAAAAATTTTTTCTTAGCTTGCAAACCAGACAAAAGCAGATGACAAGCCAGATTAGGTCCATGGACCTCAGCTTGCCAATCTGTGTTCCAAATTGTGACTTCTGTAATATGCAGCATCTCTCAAACTGATCTCTACCACTTCCGCCATTCCAAATGCATCACTTAGTGATGTGCTCTATGTCTATTTCTCAAAGTCAATACTGGCATTTTAGAGGTAAGCGTGGGGAAAAAGACAAAACATGAAGTAAGTTCATCTTTTCGTCTATCTCCTCAGAGTGTATTTAAGCAGATCTTTCTGTTATTCTCTTTCATAGTGCCTTGCTCTTTTCCATTAAGTAGTTGCCACCATAGTTCATTATGCACTTATTTGTGACTTTTCATATTAATTAATACCTTTATTTTATTTCTACTGCTGATATAAATTGCTACTAGTTTAGTGGCTTACAAAAATACGTATTTGTTATCTCAGAGTTTCCGTAGGTCAGCAGCCAGATGGGCTTGAGTGAGTCTCTACTTAGAGTGGTACAAGGCTGATATTAAGGTGGTGGCAGGGCTGTGTGCCTTTCTAAAAGCTCTTAGAGAAAATCTGCTTCTGGGCTCAAAGAAGCTATTGGCAGTTGAAGGCCTAAGATTCCCATTTCCTCGATGTTTGTCAGTTAGGGATTATTTTCAGCTTCCAAATGGCACTTCCTTCCTTGATTTACAATCCCCTTTGCCTTCAAAGCCAGTAATCACCTATCAAGTCCTCCTCATGCCTAACCTCTCCTGTTATTTCTTTTGTATCTCATCTCTTCCTAACTTAAATCAGAAAAAACTTTCTGTTTTTAAGGGTTGATATGATTTGATTGGCCTCTCATATAATGCAGCATAATCTCCCCCTGTCAAGATCAGTAACCTTAATCACAACTGCAAAGTCTCTCTTGCCATGTAACAACATATCCAGAGATTTCTGGGATTCGGGCATAGATATTTAGGAGGTATTTTTTAAAATACTATAACTATTATCCATCCTACTATACTGTAAACTCCATGAATAAAGACTATTTCTTTTAACATTGCTGGGACACATTCACCAGATGCATAGTAAATGCACAATAAATATTTTTGAATTAAAAAAAATGAATTAGTAAGTAAATGAATAAATAATGAGCAAATTAATTAATAGGTGGATTTAGGGTTCAGTAGTGAATCCTAACCTTGAATTAAATATTTAATAATTTTAATTAACTGTGACAATGGTTAAGAAAAACACAAATGCTCACCTGTGAAAGACATGGATTGAAATTGGCACTATCACTGTCACTTATTATTAACCCTGATGGAGCTTTACTCAGAATCTCTGCACCCTATTTTGTTCATATAAAAAGTTGGAAATTGAGATCAGCAAATGGCGTAATGGTTAGATCGCTGGATTCTCACATAGTCGCCAGCTTCTCAAGTCCAGACCTGGCAGCTTTAATCTCACGCTGAGTACATGTACATGTGTCGCCAAGATACCAAGAGATGAATAAAGAAAAAGGGATTACAGCTGGGCCATTACCCCACCCGGGGGAGGGGAGTGATCTCTTGCTTTCTGTCCTTCTGTCACAGTCACTCCAGCAAGCGCATGCACCCTATAGCAAAAATTTATTTCTAAAAAAAAAAAAAATAGTTGGAAATCAAATCTTCCTGAGAGGTAGGCTGAGGGCTAAATACGCATGTGTATGTATCTATTTCCTGGATATCACAGTGCCTAGCTCACTATAAGATCTCATTTTTCTACAGCCATTGTAGGTAACAAGTACATTAAGGTCTTGGTTAATGGAATGAACTTTAGTAGAAAGAGAAGATAAGTAAGAGTGGAGAAGAGAGGAAGGGGAGGGGAGGGGCTCAGAGCAGATCTCAGTCAGCATCATTTTTTTTCTTTTTTTGAGAGATTTTTGCTATAGAGCATGTATGTGCTCACCAGTCAGAGAGAGAGAAAGAGATAAAGTGAGAAATCACACCCCAGTGGGCATGGCCATGCCATAATTCCTTCTCCTCCATTCTCCTCTTGGGATTTTGGGCACACACGCACATGGGCCAAGTGTAATTTTAACCCTTGAGGTCCAGGCCTCAAACTGTGGTGGGCCATGTGGGAGTCCAGTGACATAACCATTATGCAATCTGCTGGTACCATCACTATCAATATTTCAGAAGCAAGTTATTGAAGAGAAGTAAAATCCAGTGGGGGGAAGGAAGAGATAAATAGAGAATTTGTTTTTGTTTTTGAAAACAAAAAGGAAAAAGGAAGTTTAAAAGAGAAAGGGATTAACAATTTCAAATATAGCAATAATACCACATAATATAAAAACTGAAGTGAGTCCATTACTAGATAAAGAGGTCACTGATAATTCAGTAAGGAATTTTCAGCAAAGTAGTGAGGAAGACACTCAAATATCATAGGTTGAAGGCTAAATGGAAAAGAAGAGAAGGGGGAAAATGGACTAAGGAAATATGGTCTAACTAGTCTTTCTGAAAATTTGATTTTGGAGAAAAAAGAGAGAGAGGGCGGTATCTTACAGGAGGGGTATTGATCAGAAGGTTGACATAAAGGTAAATTCTGGTTGTGTGCATTTATTTTAATAACCTTCACTCATTCCTTACAACAGATTTTGTTTAAGTCTCTTACCTCTTCTCATGTCCTTTCCCTCCCATTTCTCCCACCTCTCATGTTAAACATAGAAGCTCATCCATTTTATCAGGAATAGAGAAACTTTCAGGCCAAAACTTTCTCAACTATTCAATATCCCTCCCTTGTCTCTACTCCTCAAAGTGCACTATTACCTTCTTCCTTGCTTATACACTGGAAGTGAGAAATCTTCCCATATCACAATAATTCTACTTGTGCTTTAAATCTCTGCCCTAATTGTCTTCTTATCCTGTTACATCAGTTCTTCAGCATTTCTCTTGTGAACATTGGTCTTGGATTTCCAGTCTCCTCCTCAAGTCCCTACATTTTGATTTGGCATCTTATAAGTAGCAAGTGGAAGGTCATCTATTAAATATAAATCCCATGAAGAAAAAGTTATTATTTCTCTTCTTCACTGCTGAATCCCTCAGACCTTAGTTGGAGCTTGAACATTGTTTGAATAAAAAAAGAATACATCCCTGCCCTCAGCTTAAAGCCACCTAACTGCTTAACCTAACTACCAGTCAAATTTGTATATTTAACTTTCCAGTCTGTGTGTGTATGTGTGTGTGTGTGTGTGTGTGTGTGTGAGAGAGAGAGAGAGAGAAAGAGAGAGAGAGAGAGAGATTGATTCAGGTCCAATTATCTTGAATGTCTCCCTTTGAATATCTCATAGACAACTCAAATTTGGCATACTCAAAACTAAATTCAAGATTCTTACTTCTACCTTCCACCTATTTCTCCTCAGAATCCCCTAGCTCAGTCAATTGTCAATATACCCATCTCGTTGTACTAACCAGATACTTGAAGTAATTATTTACAAACGTACATTACTCATTCACCCACCCTATCCTTTACTAACTCTATCAACTTCAGCCTTGCATATCTCTTGGCTCAATCTAGTTCTATTTCCAGTGCTAACACTCTAGCCAAGTAATTATTATCTAGTCTAGATTATTCCGATAGATTCTCTACTGGTATCTTTATTTTCATATATATGCCATGAACAATCACTTCTCAATCTGGTAATAACAATAAAATGCAGAAAATTTAACCATGGTGTTTCCTTGTTCAAAATATTGAAATGAAATACTAAACATGGACTGTATATGATTAATCTCCTGCCTAGATCACCACTTAAAGGTTTTCCATCCCTGTTAAGTCTTTATTATTCTCATCACATTCTGTAAAATTCACGTTCTTCCTACTCTAGGGCCTTCAAAGAGCCAGTTCTTTTATTCATGCTGTTGCGGTTAGCTGCACATCAGCCAGTGAGCACTGTTTCAGAGGTGTTTGGCTGTCAGATGAGATGCTTCAGTTCTCATCCAAGTGGACTCTCAATCTCTTGCAGTCTCTTGCTGGAGAGGTGTCTGTTGGGTTTGTTCTATGGCAGAGAGAAAAGCCAAATTTCAAAGAGTGGAGAAAGATTACTGCTAGATGAAAGAACCACAAAGTCAGATTGCAAAAGGCATAGATAAAAAAGAGACCAATATCTGGAGCCATCAGTACAGTCAATCTTTCACAACAGTCAAGTCTCAGAAAACAGAAGGCTAGTTTCTATTATTTTTTGCCCTCTCCTGTGGACTAAAGTATAGATATTGGCGAATGTAAATATAAATATATTAATAAATAGCAAATTGAGTATTGGATGATATTTATGCCTCAAATGCTCAAAGAGAAGGAGAAAAGTTTCTCTACCGATAGATGTAGCGATTGCAAGGAAAACTGGCATGAATACATGAAAAAGTGCAAAGTGACTTTTGTTTTCTCTTAAGGATTTGATAGAACTATAATGGACCTTAAAGAAAGTACTTTAAAAACCAACTAAGTTTCAGGAAAGGTTCAGGAAGAATAAAACAGCAAGTAAAAAGGATGCTTAGAATAAGAGAAAGACAAAATCCCCAAGCCTTTATTGTGAGGGTTGTTTCTTTCTCTTTATGTTCCAAATGTCTCATACACTTATTTTAAATAGTAGCCTCATGTGTGTCATATTGGTCAGTCAGTGCTAAAATTTTACATCACCTTGTATGAGCTTCTACATCCAAGACAGCCGACATTCTGTCTGCAATTTTTACACTCCTTTGAATACAAATATGTTATATATAAAAAGAAAACATAGAGACCAGAAGATGGTGTAATAGTTATGTCACTGGACTCCTATGCGGCCAATTGCAATTTTTTGGACCCAGTGGCTTGAAACTCACACCGCATGTGTGTGTGTCCCAAAATCCCGAGACGAGAATAGAGGAAAAGGGATTGTGGCATGGTCATCCCCCCTAAGGGGTGATTTCTTGCTTTCTATCTTTCTGTCTCTGTCTGTCTCTCTAGTGAGCACACATGCCCTATAGCAAAAATCTCTCTCTAGAAAAAAATAAAATAAATAATTAAACATGTTACATGAAAAGTAAATACTCCTATCATCCAGCATAAGAAATATGTTACTAGTATTATCAAAGTCCTCTGCATACATCTCACGCAAAGCATTGTCTTCTCAGTTCTTATTTTTGGCAGGTATTGTTTCCTATCATTGTGATTTTAATGCACACATGTATATTTAAACACTATTTAGGTTTATATGTTATTGGACTTTATTGAAATAATGAATTTTCAATCTTCCATAGCAAACTGTTACATATGTATATATGTGCGTATGAGCCACTTCTAAGATTTCTCAGATAAGTCCTTTTGCTATCTTTCAGCTTTCCTCTTAGCCTTAGTTGAGAAGACGGCCTTATGTTGAGGAGGCAGAGCCATGAGATTCCATTAACCTACATATCCGAGTTGTTGCACAGAGGACAGTCGCCAGGGTCATTCACTTGAACAGGCTTTAAGAAAGTACAAGGAACTTTTATTATCAGGATTCTTTTGTGCTACAATACAAAGACTCCCTTCCCCCAGTGAATCTAAATTTCCAGTTCTTTTAGAACTCTATTTGGTTATTTTTTGTATCCTTTTACTATTTGGTAACTTTTAGGAATATGACTTTTAGTTTTCTAAACAGTTTGTACTTATTTTGTGTTCTATAATCAATGATTCAATATCTGATGTCCTTAGAGTTTAAATTTGTTGTTCATTGTTTTCTTCTGCATGTATTTGGCATTTATTTTAATTGCACATTTATATTTAATTGGATTTAGCTTGGAAAGTATGAAGGGCCTGAGTTAAAAATAATTTTCTTCAGAGAAGATTTGTTTAGACTTCTCTTGCAGACAGGACATCACAACGAACTGGGACTACTTCAATTTAATCTTTCAGTTTCCAGTTTCCCTAACCACTCCAGTAGTATAAGTTAAATTCTTAGACTGGTATCTTGGACAGCCTAAACTAATGCCCATATGTGTGCAGAATAGCTTGTAAAAAAAACAAAACAAAACAAAAAAAACAACTATGTGTGTACTTATAGACAGCTATATTCTCACTAATTAGTACTATATAAATGAAAATATATGCATTTGTTATGGAAGTATTTATATTTTAAAAATCACCACAATAATAAGACAGTCAGAATATTTTTTAAATATCTCAATACTTAATCATAAATAGAAACACAGAGTAACATAAACTAAACAGCCAAATTTTGACCAAGATCCAATGTAACCTGCCTATTTATGTGTCTTTTAGTGTATTAGAATGTTGCCAAAATAAATACTTTCCAATTAGAGCTAATTGAAAAGTACATAATTATTCACACATTCTTTCAATTAACATACGTTGACTCACAATTAAATATCATATACTGCGCTACATGCTGGAGATTCAAAGATAAATTATATGATTTAAATCACTTATGTTTTAGGTCAATACTGGAACTATGCCTTTGAAAATAATATTTTACTATGACTGCGTTATTGATGATTCGATCTAGTTCCATAAACATTTATTGAGCATCTAGGGAAAATCTAACAGTGAAAATAAAAAGGAAGGAAAAAAATGCTATAATTATGAGAAACCCTTTTTATTACTTACTGACATTGTATATCTAAAAAGAATTGACTCATCTGTGTATGTCATCCCTTGCTTTTCATCTTTATTTGGATTATTTATTAATCCTTGACAAAAAGATCAATATATTGTGAATTCATTTATATACACTCAGTATCACTGAGGTAAAATATAATTATGAAAGTGCTGTTACATAAAGAAGTACCAGATAGACCTATTATAGATACTTAGAGATGAGCTATGCCTCTCTCATTTCCTGTACTTTACTTTACAAGTAGATATAATACAATTTCTTCCATTATGAATTGAAATATTCTTAAGTTTGTTGAAGAATTTCAATAAAGCCAATGAAAAGAATTATTAATCTGCTTGGATAGTAGTGGGAAATGCACTGTAATTGGTAAGCTACATATCAGAGTTCTTGGAATTTCTCCAACCACACCAGTAATTGGTCATCTTAATTACATGGTCCATTAGTTGAAATCTGCATCACAAAACTACCATGAACAATTCTTGCCAACTTTGATCCATTTATTGTGAGGTCAAAGTTCCTTTGCTCATTGCAAAATGAAACTAGATATATTAAGTTAAAGTATTTTGAGTTCATTAAATATATGACCTCAAGTTAGTCATCATATCACATACAGAAAATATCTACAATTCTAAAAACAATGCCTCTAATACTTTCAGATATTTTTATGATGCAAAAACTTATAGCCCTACAAAAAAATCTGGACAGATTCAAAAAATTTAAATATAAAATATAAATCACCAAGTTCTAGTTTCTGTTACTTACACATATAATTAACCACCAAGTTGACAGAAATGTCTCAGTTTAACTGATAATAACCATTAGAATGTTTCTAAATAAAAGCACATCAGGTTGCCAGCAAGCCAACCTCATTACCAGCAAGCATTTAGCCCAGAAGCATTGATGGTACCTTAACTGAAGCCACTTTGCAATGATTCTTTTAGCACAGTTTTTATATAAAACACTTAGATAACCAGTTAATAGTGGATCTGTTCAATATTTATTCCTTCATGTCAGATATTAACCATTTTTGAGCATTAATTATGTACTAAATGTTGCACACTAAGATAAACAAGATATTCCCAACTCTCAAGAAACTTGTGACTCGGATCCAATTTAAATAAATTTCTCAGCAGAACATAAATGTATCAAAAGTCGTCATCTATTACACCACCCCATTTGTCCATTTACTCTTAAAGGACATAACGAGCAACTTATTCAGATTTCTTTCAAAAATACAAAAACTGTATCTATACATTTCTTGAATCTTATCTAATTTTTCAAAATATTGAGGTTAACCTAGAATATAGTTATGATTCACTCAGGGTAGCATTGAGGCTAAATTGTAAATATTTTAACAAACTATCCATAGGATAAGCCATTCTAGAATTTTTCCCAATGTTTAAGACATGTTTATTGATTTATGTTATAAATCCCATGTATCCCTCAATAAAAATGGTGACACTGAGTCAGAAAAACACTTGCACATGGGACCAGCAGTTGGCATAATGGCTATGTTGCTGGACTCCCATATAGTCAACCGTGGTTCAAGTCCTGGACCCGGTGGCTTAAACTCACGCTGGACATGTGAGTGTGTATGTGCCCAAGATCCCAAGAGGAGAATAGAGGAGAAGGGATTGAGGCATGGCCATCCCCCTTGGAGGGTGATTTCTCGCTTTCTGTTCCTCTGTCTCTCTCTTTCTGTCTGGCAAGCACATGTGCCCTATAAAAATCCTCAAAAAAAAAAAAAA